CCCCCCCCCCACTCCCATTGCTTTTTTATCACTTCAGAGGTTACATTTGTGTTTATGATACTGAAGGGTAATAGTGCTAGATCATTTGTATTTTGAATAGCTCTGTATCTCCAGGGAGGCAAGAAAGCTGAGCTCTAAATAATAAGTTAGAGAGCAACATAAACATGATACAAAAGGCAGTATAGTAAAGGGCATTTGAGTTTGGGAGATTTAAGTCTATTCAGCAACGTGGATCAGTAATAATATGATGGTAAAAAGGCTGTGCTTAGATTCACATTGTGTCATGTTTTAACATTAAGCTGCTTTAACTGCCGCTATATCAAAACATTTTATTTCTCTCATAAAACAGTAGTGCAACAATATATTAAAAAGAGAAAACAAATTATAAATTTAGATTTTTATTATTCGAGTAAACATTTATGTTCTGCCAGGCTGAATTGTTCATTACAGTAGCTAAATAACTTGTTATTGTGTGACGTAAAAATAATTTTACCATGTGTTTTATGACAAAGTTATTGCGTGTTTGTTCGCTAGGATATTATGTCCATTAGTAAAGAGGATGTCTCAGAAATATAAGTGAGTTTGGACAAAGAAGCCTCAAATTATATTTTTCATCAACAAACCAAAAATGATCATATATTGACAGTGTTTTGCAGCATTGAAGCGTGTTGTGAAGGCTAACTACTTTATGGTGTTGTCTGAATGGTTCTGTGTGTGGTGTGCTGACTCATGTTTATGCATACACCGTGTTGATTTGTACAATCATTCATATGGAGAGCGTTATCTGCCAAAAGAATTAAAAGAATCCATCATTCAAAATTGCTTTAACACGGATGTTCGAGAGTGCAGACGTTATTGATTTTTGAAGTTTTTCAACTAAAATGTGGGCTGCTGTGGTTATTTTTTCTATTTTCATTCATTTGATCACTTTGTCTCAATAGCCTGAGTATTTGTGTGCGTGCCTGCCTCTCTACAGGTGGACTGGTTGAAGAACGAGGATGTCATTGATCCATCGCAGGACTCCAACTTCCTGATCACCATCGATCATGATCTGATCATCAAACAGGCCAGACTCTCAGACACAGCCAACTACACCTGTGTGGCTCGTAACGTGGTGGCCAAAAGACGCAGCAGCACAGCTACTCTTATTGTTTATGGTAACGCACGCATGTTTTTCCTTCTCTTCCATTTTGGGGGGATTGGTTTATGAATCATGGCTTAACATAGTAATCAAAATCATCCGTGTGTTGCTGTTCAGGTTCAACGATGCACTGTGTTAAGTGATAATAAGTGACTTGCAAAATGAGATACTTTAGTAGCTCAAAATGTAAACATTAAATTACTGAATTAACTTTATGGATCTTGCACTTTTACATAAGACAATGTTGAAAATTAAAAATGAAATATAATTTGAAAACCACCATACTCTATCAATAGGAACTATTTTCTGTATACAAAGCCCATAAAAGTGGTTGGTAGTTGGATAATGGATTGATGGGTTTATATCCTGATTATTATGTTAAAGATGACCAAGGTATTAACGGCCACACTTGCCTGTCTGTCTCCGTCAGTAAGCGGAGGCTGGTCTTCCTGGACCGAATGGTCAGAGTGTAACGCTCGGTGTGGGCGGGGCTGGCAGCGACGAACACGCAGCTGCACCAATCCGGCCCCTCTGAATGGAGGAGCCTTCTGTGAAGGCCCGCCCTTCCAGAGAGTGACCTGCACCACACTTTGCCCAGGTGACGATGACATCACGATTATTGATAACATCTTCAGGCAAAGTAGTCAAGCACTGAAATATCAGGGAATTTCCCAAATATGGTATTTTGCGAGAAGTGCCGGGATGAATTTTTTAACTTTTAGAACATAAGATGCTGGAAAAACCAGGCTGTTGACCCCCACATTTTTTCAACGTAAAAACTATTTTTTCCAACAAGGACAGAATAACATTTGGTCATGTAGCTGCTTTGATTTCATCGTGAAAAAAATCAGGAACATCTGATTTCTGTTATCCGATTTACTGTCACACACCATTCTGCCACTTATTGCTGCAACCCGTGCGTCAGACCACCATGACTCCAATATGCATATGCATATGCACATTATACAGTCATGCCCGATTCCCCTCTACCTGCAGTGATGGAAGTATTTAGCCGTTGGTTAGCTGTAAAATGACTCACATCTCTGCTGTCTCATTCCAGTGGATGGAGGATGGACAGAGTGGGCAAAGTGGTCCGCCTGTGGGACAGAGTGCACCCACTGGCGCAGTCGCGAGTGCCAAGCCCCCCCACCTAGAAATGGAGGAAAGCACTGCAGTGGCAGCATGATGGAAAGCAAAAACTGCACTGAGGGGTTGTGTGCACGCAGTAAGTCACCTGAGCAATATGTTTGAACTGGGGTGGTTGTTAAATGTCAAAAGTTAGTAAATATTTGACATATATACATATATTCATTTGTGATATATCCTAATTCTTCAGTTCATGCAAATCAGCCACTGATTAACTAAGAACTTAGTTAATTAGTGCACATAGTTCAACTGTCTAACATCTAAAAGAAACCGGTATCTATAAGGCTCAACTCCCTAATGGCAAATTTGTTGCTTCAGGTGGTTGTTTTATTGATAATCGTGAGTGTTGCATGCGGTGATATTTTTTGTCATAGCTCACAGTTTCATAAGGTGTATTGCATTTCAGAACTATTTTGTGTAGAACTGCATGCCCTAGGTGATTTGGCACTGCAGCATGGTGAAAGTGCCAATGATGTCGAGAGAGAGAGAGAGAGAGAGAGAGAGAGAGAGAGAGAGAGAGAGAG